CACAATGAAGTGTCAAGAGGTAACTGTCACAACTTGCAGCATAAGGAGTTCTAACCAGATACATGGGAAAAAGTGTTCACCACGGGAGTGGTTAAGCACCAGCACAGGTGCCCCGAGGAGACGCAGAATCGCCATCCTTGGAGTTTCCTTGTCCTCAGCTGGGCCAAGCACTAAGCAACCTGGTCTTACCTGGAAGCTAGCCCTGCTTTGAGTAAGATGTTGAACTAGATGACATCCAGAGATCCCATCCAACAGGAATTATGCTATGAAATTAGCACTTTCTACACAAGAGAGAAGACTTTCTAACCAGGTTTAAACTCACTTTCTGTCACTTTGACTTTAACACATATTCTTAACAAAACTTTACTAATCAGGAAGTAAAATGCATGAAATCATAGATAACTTCATCAAATCCAAAACACACTATGTTATCCACAACTCCCAGCTTCTCTAAAGTACCAGAGCCAGTTCAGTTTTTCAGCAGAATAGACGAAACTGAATTTTACTGCCTCAAGGATAAGAACAAAATAAAGCATTTATTGAAATAACTTACTTACCTGCCTCCGCTACAGCTAGGGAGGATTCCATGAGTGGCTGATGAGAGAAGCAACGTGTTAGGGGTTGAGAAGGATCAGTGCAGTTTGGGAAGATTGTGGATGGGAATCACTCTCACTTCCCAGTCTCCAGCCAATCATACCGTGGGCCTAGGAGTTGCAGAGTGAGTTAGTGCTAGAGGCAGTGTTAGGCCTCCCTCTAGTAGCAGGAACTCAGGCTGTAAGCAGCCATGCCTCATGGGGAGTAACACAAGGACCTCCTCACAGACTGGGCTCCTGACCTGCAGCCCACATACCCCACATCTTCACATTTAAGAGGTCTCCACTAGGGTCTGCAGAAGAGCCATAAGCACCCTAGCGCTGGGATGCAGATGCTAGGTAAGTGCTACACACACTGTTGATACACACATCGGTGAGAAGGAAGATGAAGGCTTGGAGGGTGAGGCTGTGCAGGAACTGTGCTAGGCTGTTTTGCAGATCTTAACAGGGATTCACTGTGTGGAGCCTGATTATAGCTGTTTTAAGCAGGTTTTTGCTACTTGCTCTTGGCAGGCCTGAAGAGTCCTGCTTTAAGGACTTTGCAGAGCTTACAGTTCAGGCCAGGAGAACCAGGAGCACAGAACTGATTTTGCCACCTCCACCCCTGCCACACTGGCAATGGCTTACAGACACTTTTCCACAACACTGGTTCAAGCAGGCACCAACCACAGTTGCTCAGCAAGCTGCCTGGTTCATGCTACCAGCACATATATCCATGATGTCGTTCTCTGAACAAAAAGTGCAACGCTCCAAGAGCCACTTAGGCTAGATCTACTCTACATAATTCTAATACAGCCATGCTGATCTCATGTGCAGCGACTCTGAAAGTTACAGTGAATACAAATACCTTCCTCAAACCAAGTACTGTCAGATCTCCTCAGGAGAAATGAAACATTACTAGCAAACAGAGTTCTTAAGGCAATAAAAGGCCTGCGCTCCTATCTTTCTTAGGCAAACCTAGTACTGACTATGTCTAAACTATTAAATAAATTGACCCAGAGCTCTTCCTCTCCCTTTGTCCTCCACTTCCCCTCTGAATAGGTTGGTCTCGGCCACACTGTGCACTTGAAACAATTTCTGCATTGCGCTCCTGAACTGTACGCAGAAATTGTCTAGGAAAGCCAGCCTTAGCCAAAACCAAAGGTATGCTAAGGAGTGTGCTAACAGCTAAGCAGAAAGGGCAACTGCAGGCCAGCACCTTAGTCAATGCCCTGGGCCTGTTCACTAGGATAAATGTAGCTAATTTGCCTTGGATGTATCACTTATCAGAGCCCTGGGTATGATGCACTCTCCAGGAGTCTCTGCCTCTCACTTCTACCAACATTCTTCAGAGGCTGCGTTTTTCTCGGTCCCAAATAGCTTCATTTCAGCTCCCAACCTAGATTTCTCCTACTCTGTACCATACCATGGTGCAGAACTCAACACAGGTAAAATTTCACATAAATTGGTAAGTGCCATGGCTAGCTAGCGATGACTTAGATTAATTGGAAGCAGTTAGCAAAGGGATCGTTCTAGTAGGTAACTGTAAAGCAACCAGTGCAATAGCAAACAAATGATGACTCATATAATATTCATGAAATATTGTAGGCAGCTCCTCTTCACAAAATGATCTAATCTGTGGCAGGAATCTTCTAGAAAATTTGGGATAAACTAGATAAAGGTGTTAAGAACATGAATCAGCTTGAACAAAACACTTTAAATCAACTAAAGGCAATTTGAGCAAGGAGATCATACCCAAGGATCAAGCCCTTTATTTCCCAGGAAACTAGGAGGAATAGCTCCCAGGGAGCTATGATACTAGCAAATACCCTTCAAGTACAGATATTGCACATAAAATTCAATCGTCATCTTGGTTTATATTACAGAGAATTTGTTCAGGAAGAGTATGAAGGTCTGAGCCCTACCCAAAACAGCTATAGTAACAAAAGACCTTACAGGAAAAACAACATTTTTTCTCCAGAATAGCTTGTTCCCTCCGGGGGCAGGTGAGAGGGAGGCCACACTGGTTTTACTATATGTATATAGTGCAAATCTTTACCTTTATTGCTCTAGTGCCAGTATACAATACATATAACTTTCTCTTCCAGTAAAGCACTCCTAATGTAAACATAGGCTAAAGGTTAACATTCTCTTGTAAAATTCTCTACACTTTTTATGTTTTAAAAAGCAGCTTTCAAATAAAATTGGATAGTCTGTGCCCATTTCTGAAGCTGCCATCCAAACAAAATTCTTTTGTCATGGTCAAAGCATGAACTTTTGAACATGATGTTATAGAATAAACAGCTCTGTTTCATTCTCCTTCAAATGTAGGTAGGATATTTATTATTTACTGCATGGAAAAAGCTAATATATAAGCATCATGTTCAGGTTTCTAAGCTTTGGAGTAAAAATTAATAATTAAAGACTATAAGAAACCAATTGACCATGTTCTCTGAGAGCCAACAACACTGAGTCACATTTCTTGGAAGAGTTTGACAGTTGCCATATATCTAAAAAACAAAAATAGCCCCACTGCTGGCATACCCTACTGCTGGTGGTGCCTGTAACTGCTGGTTCTGCATTTTCTTTCTCTGATAAGCATGCTAGCCTATCTGCATAAGCCTGCCATTTGAGCTAAAACAAATCACTCCCTGGCTCCCTGTTCAGAGTACTTTGTGCCCGTTATTTAAAATGCATCAAATCATTTTTTCTGCTGACTTATCAGACATGTGCCACATAAAATAATTAGGCAAATGTTTAATTCGAACAAGATTTATTCTGGCAAAGCTTTTGGCTTGGCATCACATAGAAAACTAGATAGCTATTGTCTCATCGGCCCTCAGAGTGGTCACCAAGTTTATCTAGCTGTTGCCTTCAATAATCCGCCAAACATGAAGTCAGGTAGCCACGTCTTCACAGTTTTGAAACAAAACTGGAGGGGAAAGGGTTGAAAGAGAACTGCAATGAGGAAGCAATTAGGCAGAACTGCAAGGGTTGTGCATTTCAGCCAGGCATGTGTTCTTTTATTTATCTGGGTTTATAAGTGAAGATTACAAGAGAAGCCAAATTATAAAGAACAAATTGTACATCTTTAGTACTTAAATTCCACAAATATGTAATTCTGGATGTACTAGAAACACTGGTCCTGGGCCAAGATAGAGTCAGTTAAGAACACTGTAACAAAAAAGGAGAAAAACAAAAAGGAAGCATAAATAATGTATTTCTATACCACAGAAGAGCTGTAGATCTTCTTAAACAATTATAGTCGCATGGGCTTTTCACATGAGATTCCTGTTTCTTCCACTGCATCACTTACAGAACAGAAGACAACCTCTACAAGTTTTGAAGTATCCTCCACCAAGAATATGCTAGTCTCAAATGAAATCCTGTCTATACTTATATGTTTATATAAAATACAGCTGTGTGCAAAGCAGATTGCTGCTGTTCTGTGACTAAATTCTTCCCTTCCATCTATTGGCACAAAGGATACATCTGTACTGCATTTGTAAAGGATGCCCCAAGGCAAGGTTCAAGACCAAATGCACAGTCCATACAGACAGGACACTTCAAAGTACAGCCCCAGGTGCAGCCAGAGGCCACTTTATGAAGGAAGCCACATGCCCACACATGTCCAATAGCTTAATGCACTGCTGGACATCTTAGTACGCAGCCTTACAGCAGAGAGGCGGTCCATGGGCTGCCTGTAGGCAGCCTGTGCAGCAGTCATGTGGATTAAAAGGAGAAATCAGTCCTAACGATGGTGTTCACAGTCTTTCCTGAGGCCACTCATATGACATAGGTATAGCCATAAGATTCAAGATCTGAGTAACAGTGCAATTCCACTGAGCAAGGAAGAGCAAGATGTAGAAAGCTTCATCTGTTTCTTCCACTTTGGCTCCTTCCACTCAAAGCATAGACTAATTCAGAGCGGACTACACAAGGAGTGGATCTTGCAACTGAATTTGCAAAGGAACAATCACCATAAAGAAGAACGGAAGCCAATAGCTAAGCCCACCACAGTGCTCACATGAATGACCAGAGAGGGGATACACTACGTTTCCATAGGCACAGGAGATGGTAGATGGAGTCCTTTTTCTCTGGCCACCCTGAAAGAGTCTTGTAAACATCCTTTCTTGAACAGACTGGGCAAGATTTGGACACAAGAGTGTTTTCTCTTCATGTGTCCTTCCATCACAGTCACACGTTTTTTCCAAAATAAGGCACGTGCTATAGCCTGACCTGTAGCCCACCGGCTAGGCCTTTGACATTACACAGCAATTCCAAAATACTATATGAACTATGATCTGTGTTTCCCCACATATATCTTTCCATATATTTGCTTCATTAGACTACGCATTACCTTTTACCCTATTAACACTTGTTCAAAGGCAAGTAAAACTGTCCAGCTTGGCTAGCCTGTTTTCTTACCTGACGGTAGGTGTCAAGAAGCATAGGTTTTTGTTCTTAATCCCACATTAAGATCAGTGACTCATGAATGCCAAGTTTCCATTTGTGTAAACGTGTGAGTGAATGTCACCTCCTGAAAGAGAAAAAAAAAAAAAAAAAGAACATCAGAATATAGAGTGGATCAGAAATCTCTGACTAATTTCTCCTAATTCCTTGCTTTAAATGTACAGAATTCTTGCCTTTTCTTTCATTATTTTACTCATGACATTTGATTCATCCTCAGAGTCACTAGAAATAGACAGCTTTCTTTCCTTGTTTAACATAGGCGACATGCTGGTCTTCAGCTTACATTAGAAAATGAGTAATGCCAGTGTTCACTATCTCAGTCCTTGTGAGTTCCCACTCACTGTAGGTGAAATTTATCTTCATGGGTTGGGAGGAGGGGAGAGGAGGATCTGTCCCGGACCTATGCATCATTTTAGTCCACAGAATAGGGTTCATCAGGACCTAGCACAAAAATGAATTTCTCTTTTCTAATTAGAGACTGACAAGTCCTCTACTGGTTGAGAGCTGTGACCCTGACAATGCTGTCATCTCAGTACCTTGTCCCCACACAGATGCGCCAGTCTGCTCTCAGCCTTCATGTTACAGGTCCAAGTCTATGGCTTGATCCTTAAAAGGATTTAGATCTCTGAAGTAAGACGTACAGAACTTAAGTCAAAACACGCAAGCCTCAAAACCCCTGTCTGAGCCCATTGCTGGGGCTAGAGACACCTAAAATTTGAGGCAGGCAGTTCACAGGCTGCTTATGGTGCAGCTCAGCCTCTGTGCAAGCATGATTCAGTACTATCTCTCCTGAACACACTGCCTGACCCTCTCCCACGGCCCGTCAAGCCCCACAGCCGATCCCTCCTCAGTCCCAAGGTGCTGAGTTTAGCAGGCACGCTCAAACCACACCCGGTGCACCTCTGTACCATCAGGTTCCACACCAAACACAACAGCAGCAATCACGGCTATGTTCAAAGCAATGGTCAGCTAAGAGAAAAGCGGGCAAAGGCGTGTGTCTCTAACAACCGCTAACTCACGAAGTATCTACTGGCATATGTGGATGCCAGTTGCTAAGATTAGGATACCCAGCTCCTAAAATAATGAGTTTACAACACTCTTTTACAGCATACTGAATTACTTATCGTTGGTGTCAGAAGGGGTAAAACATACGCACTGAAGCCCTGAGGACTGGTCAGAAGTTTTGTCTTTCAATATTAAATTCCTAAAGAAATGACAAATTTGGTTCTTCAAAAATTAGACCTGAGCTCTAAGTCACATATATCTTGCCTTCATATTATAATAAGCACACATTTTTCAAATCCCCCCTACATAGTATGTAGGGGGATATATATATATATATATATATATAAGCAATTTTATATATATATAACATAATATAATAAGGAGAAAAAACACAAAGAGAACAGAAGCAGGCGTACATATGTGAGAAAGTGCAATTTCACCAATCCTCTGTGCAGGTACCTTTGCTTTTTTTTTTTTTTTTTTTTTGCCTGCACAGTGCCTATTACAACATCCTGACCAGCTGAATCTTTGTTCCTCTTTCTCAAATTTCCATCAGCTGTCGCAGCTTTTCATGGAAAAGTGCCTTCTGCCCAACGCCACATATAAATTGCACATATAAATTAATGAAATACACAGCGAGATGAGGAATATACACTGATAAATCAAGGACAGATTTGCAGTCAAATATGTCATGACACTGGGAGATAGCAGCAGAAAAAAAGATTCCCATATATCTAATGATATACTCAACAGTTGCTTCAAGCCTAATCAAGGCTGAAATATTATCATATGTAGATTTTTTTTTTATAATTTTACTAGTGTTTAACTTATATTAATTACAATTTTCTTCTGCCTAAAAGATCTCTTGCACATGATAATAATGCTGCCTGACTAATGCAAAAAAATAATGCAAATTATTTTTAAAAAGTTTCAGCATATTTTAAAACTGTCTCTCAGTGAAGTATGTGGCATACAAAATAAATAATTATGATGTGTATACCACTGGCTGGAGTGACATATTTACAGTACAATCTTATTAACTTGGCCTTGAAGCCATCTCAAACCCATGCTGATTAAAGTTTACATCATACAGTCTTCAGTATCATCATACAGTCGCACATGAGGTTATTCACATTTCATGGAAACAGTGAACAAAGTGATCAGCATTTCAAATATCACAGGAATCATCCACGTAATTAGTCACTAAGGAATGACTGCTACACATAGCAGAGTGTACTGAATAACTGATGTTCTACAGTGCTAATGAAAAGCACATCTATAGTTTATCTCATGATTAATATAACAATGAATTCAGACCCCAAGCTTTCCCTCATAATAAAAACAAGACTGTTAAATCAGAAACTACAGGTCAATTCCGTTCTCCATCACATCCAGCTAATCTTCAAAGCTGTATAATTATAATCAGGAACTGATTATAACTTGCAGCATAATTTGACACAATGAATCAAAATAATTTTTGTATTCAATTAATTTATATACTCCCAAGAAAATCAGAAAACATGAAATCACTTAACCCATTACTATTAGTCCTTTCCAAGAACTCCTGTATCTTTAGGCATCATCTTGATATCCCCTACCCAGTCACTTATTTCTTATACTATCAGATCTGCAACACAATTGTTTTAAAGCTTCAGAAGCATCCTTTATCACTTTTGCATACTCATAATTATGTATCATAGGGATTGTAAATATCATATAGGTAAGTTAGTAGTTTAATTTAGAATTATTTTTCTCTTTAATGAAATCTCCCCAGATCATTTTAATGTTTTGTCATTCCATAAACATCTTGTACACTGCACCACAAAGTCCAGTGGTCCAGATTTTCAAATTTGATTACATATTGAGTTCATCGAGTTTAGATACATTAAGACCTCAATCTCTAAAAAGCACCTTTTAAAAATTAGAACTTGAACAGCGTCTAAGGTTTGGCACCTGAAATTTGAACCCACAACTCAGGATCACCAGTTGCTTTTGAAAAATCAACAGTTCTGTATTTCTAATACCCAGTAATACCCAGCGCAAGTTTTTGCTTTCATGCCATTCATGTTTGAGATTTCATCTGCTAAGGTCAGTCCTAGAGAAGATTTCACAAGCTTCTTGAAGCTATCTGATACAGAAAGCTGATACACTGATACAGAAAGAATCGGATTATCATTTTTAACAGAATAGGACTGTTCTTTCTTGCAAGGAAGGAATGTTCATATTAATTGAAAACAGCTATTAAACGCAGTCTCACCTAGCACGGCAACCTAGTTCAACAGTATCTAAGAGCGGATGGTCATCAAATTGTCATCAAATAAGGCTGGAAATTCAAGTGTTGTCTCTACATTCACTGGAATGACCGTACAAAAGTCTGAATGGAAGCTGTACATGTGTCATAAAATTCAAAGCCCTGACAAATGTCAAAACTAGTAGTGAAGCAGGGAATCCTCTGCCACTGCCGTCCAAAAGAATGAGAGAAGATACTCTGCACAGGAATAGGCACTTCCGCTACTGTGAATTATTTACATAGATATTTCTAATGTAGCAATGCAAAACAGATCTCCAGGCAGGTGTCTGAGGTTGGTTCAAACCAAGCACTTGGGTGCAAGTCACCCATCTAGGGAGCGAACAAGGCAGTACTCCTCACAGCTCTTCTGCTACTCAAAAGGAAGTCATTGCAAATCTCAGCTGTGCAGGGTGGCCTATCAGCAAATCTTTCCAAAGTGTAGGGTTACATTGGAGCTTATCCTATGTATGTGAAATTAGACTGTGAGGAGGGGGAAGAGTTCTTCAAATCATCATTATTTTGTTGAAGAGATCTGTATCTCTCTTACAATTTCATGTTCAATTATGAGCCAAGTTTAAGAATTTAAAAGAAAGACAGATTTTCAAAACTTTTTAGCTTCTATAATTGAGGCCAGACTTTCACAAAAGCTACGTACATCAAGCACAAAGTTCTTGGAAGTCCAGTCATTAGAGTCACAGTGGGAACCACTAAACAATAAGAATTATTTTTAAAACCCAATATTGGTTGTTGCAATGGAAATCGAATGCACTTAGCATTGCACACTTACCACTTAGTTTGAGAGATCAAGCACAAGATGTTTAAGAGTCAACATTTTTTCTTGCTTCAGCAAGACTAACAATCCTTCCACTCACAATCCTTCAGGTTATAAATCAGGAATGGAGTAGAAATAAATTTGTATGAAAATTCAAGAGGCAGGATGATGTCTGAATCACTTCCCCAAATCTGTAGTGCTCAAAAGCTAAATAATGTGGAAGAAGAGTATATTTCTGATCAATCCTTTTAAATATTTGCTTGATGTCAATATTCCATTTATTCCACATTTATTCTACTTAAACAAATTCACAGATGCAGATACATTCTAAATTATCAGTTGGCTTAAAAACTGTACTTAAAAATGTTATTTTAAAACTGTTTTTCCTCTGCAACTTCCCAGTGGTCTCTGGGAACTGCTATATACAGTTCTGGCAAGCACTAGGTTCACAGCTGCTACAAGTTATTTATTTATTTATGCACCATCCTACTTGGCACAATAGGTTTAATTTTGTTAAAGGCACAGTGAATGGGCATAAATCAGGATTTTTCAAAAGAGTTCAGTACTATGGACTGGTAATGTTAGGGGCTGAAAGACTCCTCTGCTAAGACCCAGAAGGGCAACAGCAGCACAGGCTTCTCAGCCTTGCTCTCTCAAATATAACTTAGCCCTTAAGCAGGAAGGGCATTCTCTAAGGCAGGGAAGAATCTCAGGCTGTGGGCCTAACATATGCCTACTGGAAAAGCCAGAGAAATGACTGCAGCGGGTATACCTGGACCAGGAGGAACTTTCAGGACCAGAGCCTTAACTTTTGAACTTGCACCTATCACTTCCAACCAGACAGCTGACAACACACAAAAGGTGGATCTTACAGTGTGAAACACGTCACCAGGAAGAAGGCTGAAATTGAATGTTCTCCAGATTTCCCAGCAGTTATCAGATTCAGATGGCTTTCTGTCACTTACGTATTTGAAGCCATAATTTCCATCAACTCAAGTCA